TCCACACATAGAATTAACTGTGAAGGACTACTGTTTCCTGTGATGCTATTTCTTACCTCAGTCATACCTTGGATATATTGCAGGCTCTGTTCCAGACTACTACAATTAAGTGAATAAACAATAGTGTTGTCTTAAAAAAAAGTATTTATCTTAATTTAAAAGTATCTTATTGCTAAAAACTGCTCACAATCACCTGAACCTTCAGTGATTGTAACCTTTTGCTGGTAGAGGGCCTTTCTTGGAGGTCGATGGCTGCTGACCAATCAGGGAGAGGTGGTTGTGAAGGTTGGGATGACTGTAGCAATTTCTCAAAGTAAGTTCACCACATTGACTGACTCTTCCTTTCACAAAAGATTTCTCTGTAGCATGCAATGCTGTTTGATAGCATTTTATCCACAGCAGAACTTCTTTCAAAATTGAACTCTCCTCTCAAACACTAGCTCTGCTTTATCAACAAGGTAGATGTAATATACTATATCTTCTCTTGTCATTTCAACAACGATCATGGCTTCTTCATGAAGCCATGAAGTAGATTCCATCTCAAAAAAACACGTTTTTGATCATCTATAAGAAGCAGCTCATCTGTTAAAGTTCTTCATGAGATTACAACAATTCAGTCCCATCCTCAAGCTCCACTTCTAATTCAGGTCTTTTTCTGTTTCCTCCACATCTGCAGTTATTTCCTTCGTTGAAGTATTGAGCCTCTCAAAGTCTCCAAGAAGGTTGACTTTAAAGTCAAAATTACTCCTTGATCCATGGACTACAGGATGGGTGCTCTGAGAACATGAAAACAACATTAATCTCCTTCTACATCCCCATCAGAGCTCTTGGGTGACTAGGTGCATGGTCAACGAGCATTAATATTTTGAGAGAATTCTTTTCTTGTAAGCAGTAGGTATCAACAGTGTGCTTAAAATATTCAGTAAACTAAATTGTAAACAGATTTGCCATCATCTAGGCTTTGCCGTTTCATTTATAGAGCAAGGCAGAGTAGATTTCACATAATTCTTAAAGGCCCTAGAAGCTTTAGAATGGTACATGTGCATTAGCAATGTAAAGCCATCAGTTGCATTGACCCTAACAAAGAAGTCAGGTTGTACTTTGAAGCTTTGAAGCCATGCAAGACTTCTCTTAAGCTATGAAAGTCATAGATGGCACTTTCTTTCAATATAAGACTGTTTTGTCTACATTGAAAATCTGAGTTCTCTGTGTTTGTTTGTTTGTTTAGAGAGAGATTTTTGCTATCGGGCACATGTGCTTGCCAGAGAGATAGAGAGATAGAAAGTGAGAAATCACCCCCTTCCCCCCGCCCCAGAAGGATGGCTACATCGTGATCCCTTCTCCATTTTCTTCTTGGAATTTTGGGCATGCACATACATGTGCCCAGCGTGAGTGTAAAGCCACTGAGTCCAAAATTTAAAACTTAGTCAGTTACATGGGAGTCCAGCGATGTAAGCATTACACTGTCTGTTGGTCCCAAAAATCTGTTTTCAAGCGAAGCCACTTCATCAATTGCATTATCTAGATCTTCTGGATAACTTGCTGCAGCTTCTACCTTAGCACTTGCTGCTTCAAGTTGTGCTTTTCTTTTTTCTTTCTTTTTTCTTAATCTTTTTTTATTTTTTCCCACTGTGCAACCCACTTCAGTGCCAGCAGTCCACAAGAAGAAACCAGGCAATGGTTCAAAGCCAGCTTGCCCTGCCATGGGGCACTAGGAGAGGCCCACACCTTGCACTTTTATGTTATGGAGACAGTTTCTTTCCTTTAACCTCATGATCCAACATCTGCTGACTTCAGGCTTCTGCAGTTTTCTCACTTTTCTCAGCTTTCATAAAACTGAAAAGGGCCTCATCCTAGATTAGGCTTTGGTTTAAGGAAATGTGACTGGTTCGATCTTCTATCCAGACCACTCAAACTTTCTCCATTATCAGCAATAAAGCAGTTTCGCTTTCTTGCCATCCATGTGTTCACTGGGGTAGCACTTTATGTTCCTTCAAGAACTTTTTCTTTGCATTTGCAACCTGGCTAACTGTTTGACATAAACTTTTTTGGCCTATCTCAGCTTTCAACATACTTTCCTCACTAAGCTTAAAAATTTCTAGCTTTTGGTTTAAAGTGAGGGACGTGTGACTGACTCTTCCTTATACTGGAACACTTAGAGGCCTTTGCAGGGTTGTTGATTGGACTAAGTTCAGTACAGTAGTGTCTCAGGAAACAGGGAGGCCCTAGGAGAGGATGGGAGAAGGAGGGACAACCAGTAGATGGAGCAGTCTGAATGCATTTATCAACTAAATCACGTTTTATATGGGTGCAGTTCGGGTACCTCAAAACACTTACCATAGTAACACCAAATATCACAGGTCACAGATCACCATAACAGATAAAATAATACAAGAGTTTGCAAAATTGTGAGAATTACCAAAATGTGGCACAGCCACAGAAAATGGGCACATGCAGTTGAAAAATGGCGCCAACAGACTTGCTCCACACAGAATTGCCACAAACCTTCGATGTGTAAAAACCACAATACCTGTGAAGCATGATAAAAATGAATGGCAATAAAAACAAGGCACACCTATATTCCACTGCACGTCCCTGTTCTCCTTTGTCCACCAGTGGTGCTATGGAGCATGATTCTCCCTTCAAAGCCCTGCTCAGGAAACTACATACACACACAATTCAAACTGCTGCCTTGTCTTCTTATTCTCATCTTTATTTTGCACAAATTGTGTTAGAATGAGTTTATTGACATTGCTCTTTTACTGGCCTATGAAAATGCCTTGAGGTCAATGACTGTGTCCTAATACATACAAATAACCTTTATCGTGCTTTCTTTGTGCCAGGTTAAAGGGTGTTTTCCATACTACACCTCATTTAGTCTTACAATAATCTTATCATCCCCATTTTTATGGCTGCAGAAACAGATATATAGAAGTTAGGACACCTAACACATTGCGTAGCAGCAAAGTTGGCATTCAAACATAGAGTCCAAACTTTTAGCCATTATGGTGTACTAAAAACAGAGTAGTAGCTACTATATATTATTGACCGCTTACCATGTTTGAGGCATGATGCTAAATGCTTTACACATATTATCTCATTCAATTAGTTTTTCCATCTCTGTGTCCCCAACACGCAGCAAAGTATATGACACATAAATGTTTACCGAGTTGAATTTAAGTCTTCCTGCTTTCAAACCTTCTTTCTAAACCAACAGCATGAGCATACTCTACATTTTTGGCTCAGCTGGAAATAACACTGTTCGCTATCCTTCTCCATTTACCTGGTTCCTCACCTTCTTCTCATTTATGTCCTTCTGTGGTTTTCTACTGATGTCTGTGGCATTCGCAAGGCAACTTGTCAAAGCAATGGTGCGGCAGAGGTGAGCAGAAATGTTGTCTCTTTGCAAAAGATCTTTTTCTTTAACAGTCACTTCTAGGGGTGATTTATATTGTGACCGAAATCCTTATGGAGTAACACAGCCACAGAAGAGCTATGAGTTTGCGCTTAAAGGCCAGGAGGTAAGCCCGATATGAGTCTAAAAGAGGATTTTGTTTCCCAGTGTAGCTTTGGATTTCCATTCTGTCTAGCCTCTTAAACTGAGTTCAAAGTAATCAGAGTCAGTTTTAGGGATGAGAAGTAAAAGCAGGGGAGTAAGCTTGTGGGGAAAGCAGAGAATAAACTTTAGTAGCTGTAGGTATCTGTAAGATAGAAACCGTAGGTCTCACATACATTACATGAATGAATGGGATCAAGTAGGGCTTAGGCTTAGGGCTAGAGTCAAAATAATTCATCTCTTTTCAAAGGTAAAAATACGAAATAGATAAAATTTATGACTTCTCATTTTTTTCTTTCAGTCTGCTTCCCACAAACTATTCCAAATGCACTGAAAGTAATGATTGTCAACAGAATAGCCAGGAAAGTTCACCCAAAGGAAAGAATCCTAATTGTTCTGAAAGTCTCCGGTTTCCTACCAGTTACATGTCATGGTGTTGTATTTGTCACTGTGATATTTAATAAAAGAAGAGACTCCTTAAGTGAATTCCAAGCCAAAGCCTAAAGCACAGGAAGTCAATCAAATGCCTCTTGGGGCCAGGCAAGACCAATGTGAGTGGAGTTACTACAGGGAGAACAGGGCCCATCTTATGGAGTAGCCAGTGATCAGCTCCTGCACATTCTTGACTCCCAGGAGGAATAAATTCCTCCCTTACCAGGCCTTTCCACTTCTCAGAGAAGACACAACCCTGAATTTTTCTGTGACTCTCCTAGTTTTAAATGTGGCCAACAAATTAAAAAGAAAACATGTCAACATAAGCACGCCAAGCAAACTATGTCTGTTGGACCTTACCGGATCGGAGATCCCAGTTGATGATCTCTGGCCAGAAGAATCCTAGTAAGTAGCCTAAGAGATATTTAGGGATCTCCTTCAAACCACTTGGGGTACTCCCTTTTCCCCAAGAATGGCAGCCCTGGTGGCTGGGCCTCTTAACAGACATCTCTCTCCTGTTGTGCCCCAGGCCACTTATTTGATCCTGTTCTTTTAGGAGTGAGTGCTTATTTCAGAAATGTGATTTTTAAGGCCTCTGAAAACTGCCCCGCCCCTCACCCCCTTTCGCCACTGTCCCACCCCGCAGCCTATACATACTCCTTCCCGTGTGTCCCATCCAAACCTAGGCCTGAGAGTTGGTGCCGGGCAGTGCGAGCCGCTCCTTCCTGGAGGGCTCTCCGATCTCCTGCTGGCTGACCAGCCCTCATTCCCATCCTCTCATCTCTTCTTGAAATGCCTCTGTTTGCCCTCTTTTCCTCTCCTCCATTGTCCCACTTCTCTCTCGACTTACTTTTTCTTTCTTGCCTCTTTAGTCTTTTTCCTTTTCTCCTGTCCTCCTCTGCTTGTCTCATTCTCTTCTTCAATTTCCTCTCCCATTTCTTTTCCTGTCCCATCCCTTCCCTTCCCCATCCTCTCTCACCCAGGGGCCTGGCACTGCGGAGAGCTCACTCACCAGGAGTACACCAGCACCGGCCTAGAGTATTTCTTGTGATAGGAGCGGAGGGTCAGGGAGCCCTTGCGCTCCAGCAAATCCATAGGTCCGAGTTCAAACCAGTACTTCCCAGGGTCGCACCGCGCCCGGCAGGAGCTGTCTGTATTCTCCATAGCTGCGATCGGAGGTACGCACCACAGAGGAGTTCCCTGCACCTGCTCTGCCATGCGCAGCTACTGCCAAGACTTGGCGTCTCTCGTCTCCTAGGCAACCTGGGGCGGAGTCAATGGGGGCGGGGGCGGTGGGGGCGGAGCCTCCCCACCTAAGAGCTCTAGTTTCCCAGACAGTACAGTTACTGACTGGTAAGAAACTACGTTTCCCAGAGTGAAACGTACATAGACGTGAGGAGGGCGAACTGCATCCCGGGATCTGTGGTTTTGCTAGCCCTGCAGCCAAATCCTGGAACCGACTAGGCGGAGTTACTGAGAAGGCTGAAGGACTGAGCGCCTGGAGCCTGTGTCTTGGGGCTGTCCT